TCCTACCCTGTACGAGGAAGGAGCCATTTCACACGCGCAACATCTGCACAGGTGTACCGCCGACGCTCCAGCGCCCGGCCCCTACTAGAGTAGTCTTGTGGGACCGCCCACAATCGACCAATACATCCACTCGGGGCTGCAGCATGTGTCCGGGGGGGGCCATCCCCGTGAAGCAGCCAGCAGGTGCCGGACACGGCGTTGGCCGTCTTGGACCGAGATCAGGGCGCAACTGCCTATCTCGTGGGGCTGAAGGACCGTCATGGGGTCGGCTTTGATGCTGCCAATCAGTCGGGTCGATAGGTGGCTCCCCGGCGAGATGCGTTGTGGGTGCTCGGCGTCGCCTGCCGCTTGAGTGGCCTGAACGCACTCGCGGGAGCCAGAGAGCAAAGGTGTGCGCGAATTGAGGCTTCTGAGCGAGTCCAGGCAAGCCACAGGACCGGCCATGTGCGTGGGTAGTCGAGCGGTGGCCGGAGGTAGCCTCCAGTAGTGGCTCTCAGTTCGACACCTCGGTCTCGACCACGACCATACTGGGTGCGCGCCACAGCTTATAGAGAGGCCACGGAAGCGGAATCGATCCGCCGACGCAGGGAGACCGGCCCAGCTGCTCGAGGGGGTGCGGCGGCACGCGCGCGCTGTGTGTGTGTGTCACACTCACTCACTCACACGGCGGCACGCTCGCCCTCCTCTGCAGCCGCCGCCCTCCCCCGGGGAGACGGGTACGGGTACTCCTCTGCAGCCGCCCTCAAATTCCTCTGCAGCCGTCCGCGGAGTCAACAGGATCAGGCAGAGAAGGCGAGACCGCGGCCGAGGAAGTGTAGCAGGGGAAGTCGGGCCCCGCGCCCCGTCGCATAACCATCGGGAAGCGAACGGGAGGAAGGACCGGAGAGGAGCGAGGGGAGTCACCCCGGAGCGGGGGTAGCGGGGGTAGGTACTAGTGGGGAGGCCGAGCGGGGGGTCCGGAGCGGCGACGCCGGGTGAGGGTGTGCGTCGTGTCCGTGTCCCAGGTGTCTATTAGCTCCGAGTAGACGGGTGGCGTTCTGAGTCAGACGTTCTGTCGCTATGGGGAAACCCGGAGCGCGGAGGCCGGCGGCTCCAATCCTCGGACACTCGGACACCCATGTCAACTTTATGGCCCCTACCCCCTTCCCTGCGAACGCGCAACCCCCAAGCGTCAGGGCTTTCTTGCTCTCGTAGCCCATCCCCGAGCATCCGGCCCGCTGGGTGCGCTTCATGGTGCTCTGGGTGTGAGGTTACCGTATCTAATCCCGCGCGACTGCACGCTCTGTGTGGCACGCTCCATCCCCCTAGCCTTATGCAAATTGCAAATAAGAATCACGCGCCCAAATCCATATACAACACAACTCTTTTTAGAAAAATAAAATCGCGCGGTGTTTTGTTTCTATCTTTGAGCTCGTTTCAGTACCCATCCCCCGGACACGTCCCTCCCTGTCCTCTCGACTCGTTCCTCTACTTGTATATGCATACTTTAAAATCATGTCACTTGTGTACTTTCTATTCCTAGAGACCGCCGGTAGCGTGTGGGGCGGAGACCTCCCCGAGACAGTGTAATGTGTATGTGAGCCTGGTCCAGCGGGTCCAGGGACCAGGCTAACTCCCATGCATGCGATCAAGCGGTACCTTGGAGACAGTACAACAACGTGCAATCTCGCCATGCCATGCGCAGCCGCCGGCGCAGCGCTCGCATCGCCTCCGTCTCCGACATTGTCGGCTCGTTGGGCAAGGCAGAGCTGCCACACGCCGTTACAGCACTCGGAGACGAGAGCGTTCGCGCAACCGAGCGCATTCGCCGCGTCGCTCAGGCCGCCCCGAGCGCATGCGCGTGCTCTTGACGCCGCTCGGCCGGCGCTTCGGCCTCGCCCGCCGCCCTCTCGCCCAAAATGATGCGGGCGGCGCGCTCGGCGAGGGCAAACGTCGTCGCGCCGAGCTGGCCGCCGGGCAGGGTGGGCAGCACCGACGCGTCCACCACACGCAGCCCGCTCGCGCCCCGCACGCGCAGCGCGGGGTCGACGACGGCGAGCGGGTCCGACCTGCTCGGCGGGGGGGAAGGCGCGCCGTGAGGGTCGCTCCGCACGACACCCCTCCACGAGCCGGGCGGGCGAAGTCGCGCGCCCCATGCGACAGGAGCCGCCGAGCGCGTTGGCCGAATGCGCCGTCGAGCGGATGTACTCGTCGAGGGCGGCGTCGTCGCCTGGGCGGCGTAATCGACACGCGGCCTCGCCTCGGGCGATCTCGGGCGATCTAGGGCGACATCTCGGCTAGACGTCGCCGAGGTCGACGCGCGGCCACGCCTCCTCGCCCCGCACGCCGTCGAAAGCGGGCTGCGCGACGAGCTCACGCGAGAGGCGCAGCCCCTGCCGCAGCGTCGCCAGGTCCGCCTCCGAGGTGCCGTACCCGGTCTCGATGCGAGGCGGCGCGGACGGGTCGGCGGAGGAGAGCGAGACCGAGCCCCGCGCGGTCGGCCGCACCTACGCACAGCTACAGCACAGCTGTCTCTCGAGCTCCTCCACACCTCCTCTCTCCCCCCCCCCCTCCCCCGCGGAGAGAGCCGCGCCGCGATGCTCTGCAGCGTGAGGCCGGAGGGCGTCTTGCCCGCGCGGCCGATGTCGCGGTAGCTCGAGACGCCGTCGGGAGAGGTGCCTGCATGCACGCGGCCCCAAGCCTCAAGAGACCGCTGGCAGCTCTCGAGGTGCCGTCAGGGGGAGCGGTGAGCGCCCAGGCCGGGCACAAAGCGGAGCTGCAGGTCGGGCTGCGCCAGCCCCGGCCTGAGACACAAGACACACATGATACAATGTATAGAGCGGAGCTCGCAGGGAGCCTGCTCACAGACGGCACGCGTGAAGAGGCGCCGCCCGCGGCTCGTCAGTGCTCCTCCCGCCCGCCGAGTGGAGAAGACGGCTCCGACCCCAATCTCGGCGCATCTCGGCGCATCTGGGCGCATCTCGTCGCCTCTCTCTCTCTCTCTCTCTCTCTCTCTCTCTCTCTCTCTCTCTCTCTCTCTCTCTCTCTCTCTCTCTCTCTCTCTCTCTCCCTCTCTCTCTGCGAGTCTTATGCCGGCTGGAGAAGAAGCCCCCAAAGTCGCAGCCGCTCGACGCGAGCGGGCCCGAGCCGCGGAGCAGCCACTCGCCCACGCGGCGCGGCGAGAGGGCGCCGCTCCGCCGCCAGAACATCTCGTCCGTGATGGAGAGGGGCGAGGTGACCGTGTAGCCAGTCACGACGGCGGGCTGGTCGATCAGGTTCCGACCGACGCCTGGCAGACACACCTCGGCTCCGATGCCGTGCGCCGCCAGCTCGTCCGGCGACCCGATGCCAGACAGCAGCAGCAGGTGCGGGGACGAGACCGCGCCCGCGCACAGCAGCACCTCCCCGCCTCCACCTCCGCCGCCGCCGCTCACGCTCGCCGTCCGCTGCACGCCCGCTGCGTCGATGTACTCCACCCCGACTGCGCGCCTCCCCGCCTGGCCGGTGACCGCCGGGCCCGTCCACGGCCGCGTCTTCCCTCCTCCGCCTCCGCCTCCTCCCCCCCCCTCCGCCTCGAGGAGCAGTCGCGTCGCTGCGCAGCCGCACCGCACGTGCAGGTTCGGCCGCCGCGCCGCCCGACGCAGGTGGGTGGCGGCCGAGTGCGCTCGCCTGCCGCGCCGTGTCGTGAGCTGGAAGCGGCCCACGCCCGCCTGGGGGGGGCACGCGCCAGGGCGCGTCGTGGACGTGTCGTGTAGGCGGTGGGAGTGCTGCCCTCTCCCCGCCCTCTCTTCGTCCTCTCTTCATCCTCTCTTCGCCCTCTCCCCGCCCTCTCTTCGTCCTCTCTTCATCCTCTCTTCGCCCTCTCCCCGCCCTCTCTTCATCCTCTCTTCATCCTCTCTTCGCCCTCTCCCCGCCCTCTCTTCATCCTCTCTTCATCCTCTCTTCGCCCTCTCCCCGCCCTCTCTTCGTCCTCTCTTCATCCTCTCTTCGCCCTCTCCCCGCCCTCTCTTCATCCTCTCTTCATCCTCTCTTCGCCCTCTCCCCGCCCTCTCCTCGCCCTCTCTTCGCCTGCGGCCGGCTCCAGTCGTTGAAGTCTGCGTTGGAGGGGTGGCCCGCCTGCGCCGCCGCCTCGAGGAAGCGCTCCGAGAGCGGGTTCGCGTAGCGCGGCGTCTCGGCGGGCACCGCGCCGCCGCTGCCGTGGTGGAGCGCGTCGGTGCGAAACGCGGCGTCCCTCTGCGCCTGACCACGCATCAACTCCGTCAAACGAAGAGCTGGCTGTGCGACAGCCGGCGGTCCTCTTCGCCTCCACGGCGAGGAAGGAGGCGAGCATCGCTTCGGAGCCCCACCCGTCCAGCCCCCACCCGTCAAAGTCGGCCGCCGTGCCGCGCAGGTAGAGCAGCGCGTTGGTCGCGCTGGAGCCTGTGTGGCACGGAGGCGTCACGGGCCGAGCCGTGACCGCTTCTGGCGTCAGAGCGGCGAGACGCCCGCGCCTCCGAGGCACTTTCCGCGGCACAGGTGCACCTCTCGGCCGGCGGTGCCTGGCGCCGGCGCCGAGCGAAAGCCCCAGTCGTACTCTGAGCCGAAGAGCTTGGTCAGCGCAACCGGCGCCGCAATCTTGAGCTCCGCGGCTGGCGACGGGCCTGGCTCTAGCACGAGCACCTGCGATTAGAGGGCTCGGTTGCGACGGCGGCGGCGGCGGAAGCGGCGGCAGTGGGCTGGGCCGGCAGCCTGTTTCGACGCCGCCGAGAGCCTATCAGCGAGCACGCAGCCGGCCGTGCCGCCGCCGACGATGATGTAATCAAAGTGCGTCGGCGCTGCGCGAAAGGGGTTTCGGAGCGCAGCGGAGCAGTGCGTCGCGAGAAGCAAGAGCCAGCGGGCGGACATTGAAGCAAATGACGCGACAAACACCGACGAGAACTGAGCGCAGTCGTCTGTGTTCGTGCAGATGACGGCTATTTATTTTTTATGGCAACCGTTTAATGGAATTTGAAAAAACAAAATGCGCGGCCGGAATCGATTCGATGCGGGTCTTGGCCGTACATGGCGTCTTACCTCTCCTAGCCGTGCTGCTACCGGCCGTGCATGGCGCAATCGCCACGCCCGCCGTGGTTCGCTCGACACAACTGATATTGCGCCGCGCCGGCCTCACTTTGCTCCAACGACAGGAGGAGGAGGTGACGGGCGGCCTCCTGAGGCGGCCTGCTTCTTTTGCTGACGGAAAGACTGGCGTGGTCGTGCCGACGAGCAGCGATTCGTCCTACGCGCAGTGGGCAAAAGACAATCCGCTCGCCAATAACCTGGGCATTGCCACCGTCAAGACGGCTTCGGCCGACCTGCTGGCGCAGCTTGTCATTGCGCAGACGCCCGTCGCGGAGCTCGACTATTCGCGCCTGCTGCTCTTTGCCTCGTTTGGGCTCGTCTACCTCGGTGGCTTCCAGTATCTGTACCAGGTACGGAAGCAGACGAGATACTTCCGAGGCGCTTCCAAGACACTTCCGAGCCGCCTCCGAGATACTTCCGAGACGCTTCTCAGACGCTTCCATAGACACTTCCGAGACGCCTCCGAGATACGAGACGCTCCCGAGGCTCCGTGCCGCCTCCGGCCCACAGGTGCAGGTCTTCAAGCGCCTCTTTGACGTGGACGCCTTCACCTCGCAGCCGTGGGCGGACAAGCTGCGGGACGGGCCGGGGCTGCGCGCGCTCGCGGCGCAGACGGCACCTTCGCCCGCCCCCAGTCCGCGTCCAGCTGCAGGGTCTCTCTCCTCACCGCCGCTGTGTGGGCAGGCGCTCGACCTGGCCGTGCTCTCGCTCATCTACCTACCGACCTTCTACGTCTTCAAGGCCGCCGTCTTCTCCGACGCGGCCACGGGATTCGAGCCCGCCGGCTGCATCTCCTCTGGGATCGAGAAGTACCAGGCCAACTTTGCAAAGGCGCGCGGAGAGCCCGGCCCTCGCCTCTCGCAAACCACGAGACGCCCACTCGCCTCCCGCCTCCCCAAAGGACGAGTTCGACCTGCTGCGCGTCTGGCTGCCCGCCGACCTCGTCTGCTTCTCGGCGCCCTTTCTCTCCCTCCCCTCCTCCACGCCTGCGGCAGCACGCGGCGCTGCCCACACCTCATGCTGGTGTGAATAGGTGCCGCTCTACCTGCGGCTGCCAGTGCGGCACGTCGTCTCGTTCGTCTGGACGGCGTACCTCTCGTTTGCACGCGCGGGGCATTAGGTGCGCTTCGGGCTGGCGCAGGTGCTTTCTTTTTTAGTTTGTTGCGTGTCCGTGTGTATTGAGTCTATAGTCTTGCGTCTCAGTACAGTTTGCCCGCGCCCCCGCCCTGGGGCTCGCTCAGCTGCAGCATGGTGCACGCTGTGCTCACGAGTCACGTCTCACGTGTGGGTGTGCTCGCGCGCGCGCGCCGGCGGGAAGCGCGGGAGAGAGTGTGCGCTGCAGTCCGCAGAGAGGGGAGATAAGGCTCGCCGCCGGAAATCTCCTTTGCCGTGCCTTTTGGCGTACCCCGTTTTTACCGCGTCCTGTGCTCCCGAGTCCATAGCAGGAAAACAAAATGAAGCTGAGATACGCCACACTGGCGGTGAACCTTCTTTTCTACCAGGCTTAGGATTGAGAGCAGCCTCGCTCTCAATCCTACAAGTCGAAGGATTGTGAGCAGCACTCCTCGCAATCGTAGCATCTCTGTGCGATTGTGAGCACCCACGCTCGCAATCCTACGTCATCTAGGACTAAGAGCAGCTCCGCTCACAAGGTGACTGCTGACTGGTGACGCCTACGACTACTACCAGCGCGCTCACAATCCGAGCAAACTCTAGGGTTGCAGCAGCTTAGCTCACAATCCTAGCAACATGCCTCCGATTGCGAGCAGTAGCACTCGCAATCCTAGAACTTTCGCCGATTGCGAGCGACACCGCCCACAGTCCTACGACTTCTATAGGATTGCGAGCGGGTCCCCTCGCAATCGGTGCGATCACTGTTTGGATTGCGAGGAGACCCTCCCGGCGCGCTCACTCACAAGCGCTCGCGGCTGGAGCGATTGGGAGCACCCTCTGTGCGCTGCTAGCAGTCCTCGGATCTTTGGTACGATTGTGAGCGCAGCTGCTCATACAAGATGTAGGATTGCGAGCGCTACTGCTCGCAATCGGAGGCATGTTGCTAGGATTGTGAGCTAAGCTGCTCGCAACCCTAGACGTTGCTCGGATTGTGAGCGCGCTGGTAGTAGTCGTAGGCGTCACCAGTCACCTTGTGAGCGGAGCTGCTCTTAGTCCTAGATGACGTAGGATTGCGAGCGTGGGTGCTCACAATCGCACAGAGATGCTACGATTGCAAGGAGTGCTGCTCACAATCCTTCGACTTGTAGGATTGAGAGCGAGGCTGCTCTCAATCCTAAGCCTGGTAGAAAAGAAGGTTCAGGGCCGCGTCCGCACACTTGCCCACTTGCCCGCGGCGAGATGGGCCAAGCATGGGTGGCTGTGCGCGTTTTCGCTCGCTCGCTCCTCATCCCGCTCGTCGCGGGCCACGGTTCGGTGGTGAGGCCGCTGCCGCGGCAGGCTGTCGATGCCGATCAAGCCCCGTGGGCGTCGGGCGCCGTGCCCGAGCCCGTGCCACGTGTGTCGCTTCCCAACGAGGCGGGCACGTGGTGCCCTGTCGCTGGTGCCTCCGGCGCGCGGCTGGGAAAGTACAGCGCGAATCTGGCGCAATCGTGCTTCTGGTTCTCGAATGGGTGTGCGATAGGCTGCCACGCTTGCGACGGCAGCACGCGCGGCCCAGAGGTCGGCCCAGAGAAGCGCAAGGTCTGCGCCACTCCGATGAACGCCACTCTATGCGACGAACGGCTGCGCACGGTGAACACGGACGCGGAGTGTGGCTCGGCGGCGGATAGGTACGCTTTCACGCCGTGGAGAGCGCCGGGCTTCGCGCCTGTGTTCGACGCGTGCGGCATGGCGGGTGGCCGCGCTGCCGGCCCGGGAGGGCACGGCGCCGTCTACCGGAACACGAGCCACGCGAAGCAGGGCGATCTGGGTTCAGCGGTGCTTGGCGCGCTCAACACCAACACAACGTGGTCGGCTGGCGACACCGTTGAGGTGTCTTGGGCGATCACGGCGAACCACGGCGGCGGGTATCAGTATCGGCTCTGCCCAGCCGGCGAGCCGCTCAACGAGGCATGCTTCCAAAAGACGCCCCTGCCCTTCGACCGGAGCCGCAAGCAGCTCTTCCGGTGGGGCGGCCTCGACGGCACCAAGGCGTGGTTCGACGGCGACTACGTATCGGAGGGCACAAACCCGCCGGGCAGCACGTGGGTGAAGAACCCGATCCCACGGAACGATGGCTTCACTGGTGCCGGCTTCGCGCCAAAGTGCGACGAGGTGCCAGACTGCCGCACGACGGCCGTCGAGAGCGACTGCCTATGCTCGGGTATGTGGGGACCGTACAACCTGGAGATAGTCGACTACGTCACGCTGCCCTCGTCGCTCGCGCCGGGCAAGTACGTGCTGGGCTGGAGATGGGACTGCGAGGAGAGCAATCAGGTCTGGGCCTCCTGCTCCGACGTTCAAATCACGGCCGCCCGCGCGTCGAAGTGACCGGCCCCGGCGCCGCAGGAGTAGGAGAGGTCCCGCGGAGGACGCTCGAGGACGCGCCTCTCGCGCGTGTGCCGTGGCGGCTGGGGGTGGCGGGGCCGGGGGGCGTCATCCGTCATGGGGCGTATCCTGGGGCTGGGCTGTATAAACATATGCACTGTGTGTGTCTGTGACTGTGTGGGTGGCTGTTGTTCATGTGTGCCTTTTTTTCTAGTGGCAGTCGCTAGTGCGGACTTGCTCGTGCTGTAACCTGTAAGCTGTATGCGGTGAGAGAGGCGTGTGTCGTGTGTGCTCCTTTTTGCTTGCTGGGTTGTTGTGCGAGTATGTATGTAACTAGTGAGAGGACTCGAGATTGGGGCAGAGCGAGTGGGAGACTTTTCGGCGGGCGAAATGCGGCGGTTTGGATGCGTCCCCTTTGGGACGACCTGTTGGTACGACCTGTGGGACGACCTGTGGCAGCGACCGATGCCGTCACCGGACGCGGCGGCGAGGCACACGGGCGCCGGCGTGGCGCGTCGGCAGGCCCACCACGAGCGGATGCGCGACGAGCGCGCTCGGGAAGCGGCCGCGGGCGACGCGGAGCTTCCGCCGGAGGACGACGCGGTCGAGATGGCGAGCGCCGCCCAGCTGCTGGACAGCGTGGCGGAGGTGGGCCCGAACTACACCCTGCTGCGCAGCAAGGAGACGAAGGCGAAGCGGCGGAAGCGACAGCGCGAGGATGCCAGGGCGGCGCTCGACGGCCACACTGTCCTGTCCACCGGATCGCGCCTCGAGATCTTCTGCGACAGTGAGCGGTGGTACCCTGCGACCGTCATGGCGCGGGAGGAGGACGGGGACGGACGGATCGCGCACCAGGTCGAGTACGACGGCTACCCGGATCGGCGGTGGTGGCACATGCTGGACGACGAGCGGTGGCGAGCCGTCGCAGAGCAGGCCGGCACGGGCGCAGGAGGCGCCGCCGCAGACGGGGATGGGGATGCGGCGATGGACCGCGCGGACGGCGAGCGGGGCGCCCGTGCCGCGGGCGACGCCGAGGCGGCCGAGGTGCGGCCGGCGCCGCCTCCTGTGCGCCGGGGTGTGCAGCGCAGCGCGCTGGCGGACGCCCTCGAGGCGGAGGATGACGAGCGGCAGGAGGAGGCCGCGTGCGGCGATGGGCGGCCGATGCTAGCGCCACACGGGCCGGCGCTGTCAGTGCAGCTTCGGCGCGTGCGCCTGCGGCTGCGCGAGTTCCTGGCGACGCAGGCCGCGGCGGGGAAGAGCGTGCCGATGCAGCGTATATGTGGGACAAAAGCGTCGAAAATCAAAATGTGCAAAAAAGTGTGTCTCGAGTTTGTGGCAGCTCCGCAGCCTGCGCGCGCCCAGGACGCACCACTCGCGCGTTCTGTGCACTCAGTGGGACCCAGGGAGTGCACAGATCCAACAGGAGTGAGTAGGCTCGACGCCGTACTCGAGATGGAGCTGCCACAAACTCGCCGCCGAGCGTGCCACCGAAGGCGTCCCGTCGGAGGTGGTGGAGTTTGAGACCTGAGGCTGCGGAGGTGACGCCTGAGGTACCGGCCCGTGCACAGCGACTCAGCCTGCGACCGCCACGGGCTCAGGCGAGACTTGTCGACTCGTTCCGGCTCAGCTTCACCGTGGTCATCGGGCGTCTGTCGACGTCAGGAGTCAGGACCACCCATACAGCTCGCGGGTTTGAGGTCGCAAGAGCCAAGATGGTGGCGTTTGGACATCCCAGCCATCACACAAGACAGCCTGTAGGTGATGGCGGGACGGCGCAGTGTTTGTGGCACTCGGCAGTAGGCACCCGCGGCACGGCCCCGCTGTCCGCGGCTCTCGCGGGCAGCTCGCGGGCTGGGCGGAACCGGCCCCAGAAGGGGACTGTCCGGGCGAGTGTGGCAGCTCCTGCGCTAGTATGGGCACCCTCTATTGTAGCACTACTGATCCTGGTCATTAGAGCTGCCAGGGATAGCGTCAGGTGCCGGTAGGAGTCAAAACCTCTCTCATATATGTTCGCGTGAGTCGGCGTGAGAGACATCGTGTCCCATATTGCATATCCTCCTCAAGGGCTGTACTATGGCCATATTGCGCCGCCTCCTACTGGCAGCCGGGCGCGCGCCGCGGGCGCCTCGGCGCGCGCACGGCTCGCAAAGTTCGAACGAGTACTGCCGCCGCCGGCCGCCTCAAGGGCTGCCGGGCGGCAGTACTCGCCTCGCAAGGCGCGCACCGGCTGCTCTGGCTGCTGCGCCGGCGGCCGCTGCGCTGGCCGCTGCTGCGCTGGCCGGCGAGCGGTACGACCGCCGGCGGCCGCTGAACCCGCGCCTTCCCTCGCGGGCGCCGTCGCGCCGCGCGCGCCCAACTCTGATGGCACACGGCACGCGTCGTCACCACTCAGCCGCGGAGAACAGGCGGTGCTGCGCGCGAAACGCGCGCGATCTCGTACTTTCAAGGCTGGATCCGGCCATTCCAAGGGTACCGTCGAGCGCCGCCCTGGCATCCTCGCGCTTTCGCTTCCGCCGCTTCGCCTTCGTCTCCTTGCTGCGCAGCAGGGTGTAGTTCGGGCCCACCTCCCGCACGCTGTCCAGCACGTGGACGGCGCTCGCCATCTCGACCGCGTCGTCCGCCGGCGGAAGCTCCGCCTCGCCCGCGGCCGCTTCCCGAGCGCGTCGCGCATCCGCTCGTGGTGGGCCTGCCGACGCGCCACGCCGGCGCCCGTGTGCCTCGCCGCCGCGTCCGGCGACGGCATGATGCTGTCCGCACGAGCGTGACTCGCCACTCAACGACGTCCACGACCTCCACGACCGCCGAAATTCTCCCACTCGCGCTGCGCTCAAACCGAGACGTCTCTCTACAGTTGAAAACATACACATACTAGGCCGGTCGGGGCCGATTTTATTAAATTTTCAACTTTAACCGCATGCCTCGAGACGAGTATGCAAGGACTATCAGACCCTATGGACCACAGAACCGCAGCGGAACGGTCCATTAGACCGATCCCTGACACATTTTCTAACCATACTCCACCCGCAACACCGCGCAGCAGCCTCGAGGCCGCCCACCACGCTCACTCGTCGCGCGCGAGCGCCTCCGCCTCCTCCAGCTCCTCGAGCTCCGCATCCTCACGCGCCGACTCCTCGTCGGCTGCCGCCTCCGCCGCGACGCGCGCCTCGTACTCCTTGAGGTAGCCCTCGCCGAGGTTGTCCTCCGGCTCGTACCAGACGAGGTCGGGCGGGAAGTCCTTCCACACGACGCGGTAGAGGACGGTGCCCACCTTGGCCTTGCCCTGGTTCGCATACGTCGCCTTGCCATCTGCAACCACCTGCATGCACACGGACGGGCGGGAGGCAGTGTGTGAGAGCGGGAGAAGGGGTGAGGGGAGGGGGAGGGGGACGCGCGCCTTGAAGACGGCGTCCTCGATCTTGCCGTCCTTCCCAATCTTGAGCTGCAGCTTCATCACGTCGCCGCAGGCCGGCGCGCCAACAAGACCCGTGCCGACGTCCAGATCCTCCTTGTCGAAGGATCCGACGTTGCGAGGCGTCTCGTAGTGGTCGATGATGTTCTTGTGGTAGCCGCGCCGCGCGACGGCGAGGCGGAGCGCGGCAGGCGCAGGGCGCAGAGAGCGCACCAACATGGAAGCGAGGGCGCGACGTCCAGGAAGCTCTCGCTCAGGCAGCCGAAAGAAAATTGCCGAGCGCTTCTTAGCTCCCCTGTCCTGAGGCAGAAGAGAACGACGCGACAGAGGAGGAAGTGACAAGGGAGAGAACGACGAGGGTGGGACGACCGCGAGGTGGCATGAAGGTTGCAGCGAGAATCGGCGAGAGACTGCGAAGAGAGATAGGAAGAGGCAGACTCCCTAGGGTGGGCGACGGATAGCGCACCACACACCTCTCCTCAAAATCCCTGTGTGGTGGCGGCGTGCCGTCCTCCCATCCCTCCCTTGGGTTGTCTGTTTTCTTTCTTTTCTTTCTTTTTTCCCTGTTCTCCCATCCCTCCCTTGGGTTGTCTGTTTTCTTTCTTTCTTTCTGTCCTGTTTTCTTACTTTCTTTTTCCCCGGTCCTGGACGTGAGGTTGCTGACTGCGCTCCAAGTGCTCCAAGCGCTCGCGGCTGTCACTGGTGGCGGCGTGCCGTCCTCCCATCCCGCCGACCCGCGACCGCACTCCAAGTGCTCCAAGTATGTGCGTGTTTCTTGTGGAGGCTGGAGCTCTCTGACTACGACCTACAACCTAGCCACACGAGTCCTTCCCGAGGTGAGCCGTTGTGCGCGTTGTGGTGACGGCGGTTCTCGATTTCTTTCAAGTCACACCCGCTGCTTTGGCGGCCATCATTACTACTCGTAACTAAGTATCCAGACCACTGCGCGCGGCGTCGCACGGCGCCGTGGCTGGCGCGTGCAGACGCGTGCCGCTGCGAAACCCGGGTCGTCTGCGAGGCCCCCTAGTCTCTCTCACTCGCCCTTCGGCTTTGGGCCCGCAAGGACGTGCAGCACTTGCGTGAAGACGAGCTTGCCCCAGTACATTTGCAGCGCCGAGAAGGCTATGCCGAAGCCGATCACTCCATACAGCGCAGCATCGGGCGCGGCTGGCCGCTCCTCTTGCGGAAGCGCGAGCGTCGCGAGCATGTCCGGCACCGCCTGTGAGCCGACCACCCACGGGAAATAGACGGCCCTTAGCGGCAGGTACGCGGCGGCGAAGCAGACGCGGGCGAGCTCGTTGACGGCGCGGCAGAGCGGCGAGGCCTTCTCGTACTCGAACCAGCCGCCGCCCCGGCGGACGTGCTTCTCGTGCTTTGGGTGGAAGACGTCGACGATCGAGAGCGGGATGCCGCTGACCTGCGCACACGGCGGCGACGGCGGCGGGACGCGTCTCATGGGCACAGGGGTTGTTGGCGCGGGCGTGATTAGAGGGTGCGGGGCGTGGCCGGGCCTCACCTCGATGGCGCCGAAGAAGAAGACGGCGTAGTAGCTGCAGAGCGGGCTCAGCGTCGCGTACGCGACGGCGGCCATCCCAAAGTGGTGCGCCAGCATGAGCGGCTCACGAAGGCTCGGCACGAGGAGGCCGCAAGGGATGTCCCACAGCAGCAGCTCGCCGTACACCAGCTGCGCCAGCTGGCCTCCGAGCCGGTGCTCGTCCAGCACGCGGCCGCTCAACGAGGTCGGGACCGCTGCTGAGAGGAACCAATCCTGGACTCCGACGCAGGCGAGGCCAATCATGAGCGGGAAACAGATGCACTGGTGGGCGGTCAGACCGGGCAGCCTCCGCCACGGGCCGTCTGGCAGCAAGTAGGAGAAGGCGACGAAGAGGAGCAGCTGGGCTGCGAGGCAGGAAACCCCAGCCGCGAGGGCTAGCGGGGTGAGGCCGACGGCCTGGGCGAGCGGCGTGGCCGCGAGCGGAATGAAAAGCGCCTCCTCTAGCTCGGCGAGCAACATATACATATGGAGCGGCCGCAATGCTTACCCCGGATGAAAGAATTCCGAAATGGTCTCCCGTCCGAGCCGTCCCTGATCCCTCAGTCGCGCTCCCAATACGCGCATCACTCGGCGCCTACCATAAATAAATAGATAACTACCATGCTCAGATGCTCATGAAAGTAGGCGCAATCGATCGGGCGCGCCGTCCTCCCATAAATGATTAATTAAATAAATAGTCATCTCCAGTCGCGGTCGCGGCCAGCGCGTGAGGCCTGGCTAGGGTTGCCGGGCGAGAGCTCGCATCCCTCCACTCGTATTTTTCTTTTTTCCTTTGGTTGATGTTTTCCTTCTTTTTTTCCAGTCCCGAGTCCGAGCCTGACTGTGTGCAGTGTTCTTCTTTTAACAAACACTCTCTGAGTCTGACTCTGTTCGTCTTCGCCTTCGGCTATCTAATCTAATCTGCGAGCACGGCGCCCTGGCTATCATTGTACACCGCCACGCGCGCAATCATCCTCGCGGGGTCGTCGTGGCCGTCGAGGTCGAGGAACGAGGCGACGATAGCGCCGTCGCGACCAAAGGCGAGCGAGGCGTCCCGTCCGTACCCGCGCGGGCCGCACGAGGCGTCAAAGAGGCGCCACGAGCCGCAGAGCGGGTCGCTGCAGCGGAGCACCCGCAGGCAGCCGCGCGAGGGCGAGGCCTCGACGAAGTAGGCGAGGGCCGGCGCGCCGTGCGGCGAGAGGGCGAGGTCGGGGAAGGCGCCCGCACCAAAGTCGCTGCGCCGGGGGCGGGGCGGAGGTGCGGGCGAGGGAAGGGGAGAGCGGCGGCGGGGGCGGCGGCTGGGCGGGCGACTTGTGGGCGCGGCTTCCTTCGCCTGATGTCCCCGTGGAAGGCGGTGGCGTCGACCAGCACCTTAAGGGGGCGAGGGCGTCGCCACGGATCACGCGTCCGAGGCCGAGGCCGAGGGCTGCGGCTGGGGCGCTGCGGCGCTGCGGCGCTGCGGCGGCTCGGCGCGGTTGCGGCGGCTCGGCGCGGCGGCGGCGGGGCGGCGGAGCGAGCGGACCGGCGCGTCGCAACGGCGAAGCAGCCGGAAGCAGCGCGCCAGGAAGAGCGAGTGGCGGGCGAGGTCGAAGAATGTGAGCAGGAGCGCGTCCTGCGGCGGGCGGGCGCAGCAGGCGGACTCGGTGTCTCGCGCCCGGCGCCCGTGCCGGCGCCGGGGGGGGGGAGAGCCTTCCCGACCGCGAGGAGGCGCGCCCAGGCCCCGGGGTTGACCATGCCGCCCGCCGCCGCCACGCCCGCACCGCCGCCCTGCGCCACCACCACGCTCGAGCGCCTAGCACGATGCGCCGACGCAGCCGTCGCGAGGGGCAGGGCGGGGGCGTCCGGCGGCGAGTGGCGAGCGGCGGGGCCGTGGGTCGGCCGTGTCGAAGACGAGGCGCAGCCGCCGGCCCGAGATGTCCCAGTACGCGAGGGACCGATCCGCGAGCACGGGGCCCTCGATGCCGCGCTCGGGGCGCCGCGTCGTCTCGTTGACGGTGAAGGGGTCCGCCGCGGTCGCCAGCACGGTTTTGGCCGCCACGGAGCCGGTGGGCAGGTCCACCCTCAGCAGCACCAGGCGCGACCCGGCCTCGTCCGACAGGGCGGCGGCGACGCGCGTGCCCTCGCGGCCCGACGACTCGAGGTCGCAGTGGCGCACCTTGACGGCCCTCTCGAGCTCCACCGCCTTGAACTGGCTGCAGACCGCGTCGAGGCAGATGCCGAGCGAGAGGGCGCGGCCGCCGCTCGACGTGTGGCAGAGGACTGGCCGCGAGGAGCGGTGCGCCATGCGCATCCGGATGAAGCGCGGATCGCCGTCGGCGCCAGAGACGAGCGTCGGCGGGTGGGACCAGCCCTCGCACGACGAGCCGCCGCACCTCGCGAGCCGCAGGCCCGCCTCGGGCTCGACTGCGTTCCAGCAGAGCGTGACGTTGCCGTCCGCGCCGCTCCGCGCCTGGGTGTACCGGCCCGCGCCGCGGTCGGCGATTCGCGGCGCTCGAACGGGTGACCAGGGCGGCGGCGCCATTGACGGTAGCGTGTTGGGCTGCAGCGAGGCCCTCGTGGGCTGCAGCAGCAGCAGGGGCAGCAGCAGCGAGGCCGTGGGCTGCAGGAGCGGCAGCGGCGGCCTGGACATATGAGGAGACATCGTTTCAGAAGAAGAACGAAAATGTCTTCGCGTTCTTTCTTTACGTGTGCGCTCCGCCGGCGGTCGGCGGCGGCTCAGGGTCGGCTTGGGGCCCGGCTCGCCGCGCCGTGGCCCGCCGGGAGGCCTCGGAGAGCATGAACTCGGAGAGCATGATCGGGACGGGCCGCTCGACGGAAACTTGGCTGTCAACAGGCTCTTAACAAATATCTCTTGAACATGCCTAGCGTTGCCTCTTTATTTACATTAGTGAAGGTCCTTGGGGTGCAGCGGTGCTCGTGGGTGCTCGTGGGGGTCAATGTGCGCCAAAAGAGGATGCCGGGCACCGTGGGGGGTTAATGTGTGCGCCAAAAGAGGATGCCGGGCACCAGGATCGAACTGGTGACCTCTGGGTTATGAATCCAACGCTCTAACCAACTGAGCTAGCCCGGCTCGATCTGGCAGCCACTCGATCGCGCACGGTGCCGCGGCGGCGTGCGCTTCGAGTGTGGGATGCTGGATAGGGGAGGCCAGCTCCGCACCCGCCTATATAGTTGAAATGTGAAATTTCGGGGGGACTACAAGTGAAATTATTATATTAATAATTAATAATTTAGAGAAAAGGAAATTTGATGATTAAAATGTGAATAAATGTGTGTTGTGTTGTGGTGTCGTGGTCGGATGGAGAAGTTGTAGATGTGTGTGAGATTGTGTTTGTGTTTGGAGGTGGAAGTGGAGGTAGTGGGGGAGTGGAGGTGATGGTGGGATGTGAGGAGGAGTGTGTAGAGTTGTAGAGTTGTAGAGCTGTAGAATGTTGTAGAGTGTTGTAGAGATGTAGAGATTTAAATTCGGGTGGCGTGTGATAGATTGTGTGTTGTAGAGAGATGAAAGATGTAGAGGCGCTAATAGGGTCCGATTACGTGTTCTCGCCGTGGGGCGTGAACATCTTTGCACATATCATCATGCCCACCTTGAGAGGGTACCCAACCTTCCACTGCAGATAAAGCGCGACGGCGCCAGCGACGAACTGGCGTCCGCCAGACAGGTCGCCCGACGGCCCGTCCCAGTCTTGTGCGCGACAGGTATCGGCACCCCGTTCTCATCTACCTTGGTGGCGTAGTGGGAGTGAACAACGCCAGCCCCATCGAGAGTGGACCAGCGTTCCTCGACTCGGTACTTTGCGACGTGCTCTCGCGTCGCAAACTCCTCGAGGCTCTTGTTGAGGAGAAACCCGAACTTTGTCGTCTCATACCAGTCGGGACGCCCAGACACCTCGTCGAAGAAGCGAGTGCCCACGTCCTGCAGCCGCGCAAAGAGCTCACGCGTGTAAACATTGTTGGTATCGCCACGGTGCATTAGGTCCATGCAGCGATGCCACAACGCGTTTGCATCCTGATCTGCGGGCCGTCGATTCTCATCATACGGCGCAAATGCCACGCGTGCCCGAGAGGTGGTGGTCCACGAAGTTGGCCTCCTGTCCGCTGCGTGCCTGTAGGTGCGCCGCGCACACGTACTCCACCTTAACCAGCTCCTCGCTACCGAAACCGCGAAGCCCCTCTTGTCGCGCACTTGGCATGTTGAGAAGGAACTTGCTGCGCAAAGAGCAGTAGCGAAGCGCCGTCCCCTCTTCAGGCGAGGCGCGAGCGGCCGTCGTCACCAAAATGGCGAGGTGAGACCGTGACAGGCTGACCCGGGTATAACTTCTGCGTAGCCTGCGACTCGAAGCAGAGCGACTCCTTGGCTTGCCCGCCGCCAGCCATAACACCGCCCGGGAGCAGACCGACGTTGTTGACGTTGCGACCGTTGCCGTCCACGACCTCGATGCCACCGAGCTGGCGCTGGTCGCGCACAAAGATGTACTGCTTGTTGGCACCTGGCTCAGGACCCGTGTAGCCGCAAACCCTGGAAATGACGGTGAGCAAGATGTCTTTGAAGTGCGGCAGTGTGTTCTCGTCCTCCTCAAAAACAATCACCGACGCCTGGCGTATGTCGTTGCACACCGTCCGGCACTTTGGGCTCGTGGTGATCTCGGCCACAATCTTTGGGACGTTGTCCCACGACCACTCCTCGCCAAGCGTTGCCCAAAACTTCTTTGTGTAGGTGCCGCAGATTTCCTCGGCGTTGATAACTCCGTGCCGCTTGAGCTGCTTGTGCGAGTGCACAACAATTTCGTTGCTCAGCGTGGCCACGAGTACAACCTCCTTAGCCGCCTGAATGACTGACACCCCGACACAGTACACCTCGGTCTTGCCAGAGCCGGGTGGACCGCTGAGCTCGATATTCGAGCGTTGCTCGAGGATAGACTTGAGGGCCGCAATCTGGTCGGGCGTGTACGGTTGGCCGTTTGGACGATGCGTTGGGACCGCCAAAGCTGTACTAGGGCGCTCGGCGACGCATGGCTTCTCCGCAACAAGGAACGTCTCGGACACAACAAGATCTCCATGGTGTTGTATCCCAATGAGATAATGGTCAACCCCGTTTGTCTCGCCTCGCCACTCCCGAACGAGGTGAACACCGGGATGCGGAGTTGGACACGTACGCAGGATGCTCACATAGTCGTTCGGTTTGAACTTGGCGGCAGCTGCGACCTCTCTGGCAGCGGCAACCGTACCCGCTACATTCGCAGACGAGGAAGATACGACCTCGAGGTGCTTCCATGCAACCGATCGCACAGCACTGCCACCTACCTCCAGGCGGACGGAAGCGGTGTGCGCAAGTGCATCGGTGTCGACGACCACAACGGGCATCCCAATCCAGTTGCTTTGCTTGTCAATAACTCGGAACTTGGAGACAGCAAGCACACTTTCGCGCTCAACGTCTGGCACCTTGTCCAGGGTGAGCCTCTGCGACTGTGACAAACCGTTGCCACCTTGCGACACTGACTCCACCGCTTCCGGCGGAAACCAAGCTGCCTCCGACTCGTCAAACTGGACGCGCAAGCTATTGGTCCGACCAGAGTCTACTTTGACAATCTGCCCTCGTCGGCCTTTGTAAGGACCGGGGTAGCTCTCGAGCACACAAACTGCATCGCCGACTATCATTGCTTGCAGTGACTACGCTCTACGGGCAGCTTGAAGAAAACTACCAAAATTTGATTTCAGTATATTCGGACACGTCGAGAAGTAAAAGTAAACAAGACCAGTGTCGCAAAAAGTCAACGTCATCAGTACAACATGACATGTACATGTACTTAGCAGGCGCTCAACGCCTTCTGTCCGATGCCAAGAGCTCCAACAGCCGGAGACAAAGTTTATTGTGTTGACATACACTACAGGAGGCCCTCGGCTGTACCAATGCCCTTGTTCATCTACCAACGCAAGAGAGCGGCTTGCTCCAAGCGCCTCCCAAATTGTCGCGATAGACGAACGGCCAAAAACGGTTCAAGCAAAGCAGCGACTCACGGGCGGTGATCAGATCGCTCGCGAGAGATTATTATTGCAGTGCGGATGACTCGAAGCGCCCAGGCGGACCTGGCTAGCCAGGCTGAGCCCCTCGCAACCGACCCGCGACCACGCGCTCGCGATTATGAGGCGAAAACCGGCTATCAGCAGCAACTGACAGACCGCACGAAAACACCTCTGCCAACCAATACAAGAATGGTCACCGCAAAAGCAAGACTGGAGGCGCCCAGGCGGACCTGGCTAGCCAGGCTTAGCCCCTCGCAACCGACCCGCAACCACGCGCTCGCGATTATGAGGCGAAAACCGGCTATCAGCAGCAACTGACAGACCGCACGAAAACACCTCTGCCAAACCAATACAAGAATGTTCACCGCAAAAGCAAGACTGGAGGCGCCCAGGCGGACCTGGCTAGCCAGGCTTAGCCCCTCGCAACCGACCCGCAACCACGCGCTCGCGATTATGAGGCGAAAAGCCAGCAAGGAGATCGACGAGGAGCGTGTGCAGCTCGCCTATTTTGTTGCGGACGATCGTTTCGAGGTGTGTGCGCGCACCCCGCTCGTCGACCCCCTCTCACGCCGCCGCGGCCGCATTTTGCAGTCCTGCATCCACTGTGATACCAATCGTGCCTCAGACGTGCCTCACTGCACCACGCGCCGACACAACTCACAGGAAGGCTCCTCCTCTTCCTCCGCCGCATTGTTCTGCTCAGACGCCGGCGCTTGTAGCTGCCCGTGGTGCCCAGGGCGCACTCATCACGAACCGTAGCTGCATGACTGAATCCTTCTACCTCTATTGCACTGTCCCCCGCAATGACCTGGGCGATGTCCGCCACGCTGACGGAGTGGTGAGCATCATCGCCCTGCCGAGCGCTGCGATTCGCACGGTGTCTGCTGAAGGGACCTACGAAGCGATGTGAGTGCCGTGCGGGTGCAAAGAGCTGCCTGCCAGCTTCTGTCGGCCATGGAGCCTTTGTGCCTCGACCAAGCCCCTACCACCTGTCGCCGCCACGCCGTCAGCACTCAATGCCAAGACGACGCCGACCTCGCACGAGCTGACTGTCACCCTGTGCGACGCTCGCGGCGTGATGGCGTGCTTCGACAAAAACGGCACACCACCAGGCCCTGGAGCGCGCTTCAGCTGTTCTTGTGCCTCCCGGTGACGCCGTCCTCCGCGGGTCTTGCCGCGTGTGCTTTTGCGTGTAAGTGTGTGAGCAAACCGCTCACAGAGGAATGTCAAGGAGCCGTCCGCACGGCGAGGCATCTTCTTGGCACCGTCCTGCCACGAGAACTTTCGGTAGCCAGGAGCCAAAGCGCGAAAGCACTGCGCCGACGCTGCACCCTCCGTGCCGCTGGAGCCGTCGTGCACCTCCCAAAGGTACTGCAGAGTGCAGACGCCGCAGCGAGTCTCTGGCCGGATGCCGAACTCGTCGCGCTGCACAAACGTGTCGGCGGCACGGAAGCGAGCGCGACCCTCGGGCGTCGAACGAAGACAGCCAGCACAGCAAGCAATGCCGCGCTTGCGCCGTTTCACGTGCTGGCAGCCACTCGATCGCGCACGGTGCCGCGGCGGCGTGCGCTTCGTTCGAGTGTGGGATGCTGGATAGGGGAGGCC